ACTTGGAGGTGGAAAAGAAGTCCTATGATGTCAAGGCCAAACCAGTAGTTCCATTTTCATGGTATAGTTTGAAGGGGCCAGACAACCCCAAGGACAAGAACTTCAAGGCCCCTACTTCCGCCCCAACTGGTCAGTCTGAATAGCCAGTTATGGTAGAGGCATCCACTGAGCCTGCCTCCACAGTTGCTGACATGCCTCCCGGACCTTCCACTACTGCTGACTTGCCTCCAGGTCCTTCTACCTCACCTGGCTCGGAGATTCCATCTTCCCGGGCCCATCCTATCACTGCCCACCGGCTGAGCCAGACACTTCAGAGCCTGAACAACTGGATGTATACTGCTTCATCCAAATTGTCTACCTTGACCTCCACCATTGCAGCTCAGTCAGCTCCTCAGCCAGTATAGGTGCCACAGTCCATTAAGGATGCATTGAAGAAGATTCTAGAAAACCAGGAGAAGATCCTCAGTACCCAGGCTGCCTTGGCTAAGGCAGTGGATTCACATGGCAAGGCTCTAAAGGAGCTTGCCAAGGAGCACAAGAAGCTGCGCAAGACATGGGCCTCCAGGGAGTCCGTGAAGGAGTTGAGCGCGGATGTGGATAGACTGAAGGCAGACCAGCTGCTTTTAGACTTATTATTTGAGGACCCAGCTCCAACAGCAGTTTTAGTAGCAGCCACAGACCCGGAGCAGATACAGAGGCCTCCAAAGAAGAGGAGGAAGATCCCTAGTGCAGATGATGCCATCATCCAGTTGGCAAACCCATCGGAGGCTTCCTCCAGTCAGCCACAGGATGTACCAGATCAACAGCCGGTCCATATCCAGTCCCAGGTCCCAGCAGCTGAGCAACAGGATACCGGGAACCAGTCTGAGGTTCCCGAGCACATAGAGAACCCAGGGACCACTCATGATCCTATGCAGACGGACGAGGCTTAGGGAGTCTTCATATCCTTTGCTTATACATTTTGGTGCATATTTTGTTAGTTGGCATTGGGGACAATGCCAGCTTTTATTTGAGGGGGTGCGCCCTGCATATTTTGTTTGGATGACTGTATATATGGATCACTTTTATGCTTTCTTGATTTTTCTTTTGGTCTGTATATAATCTTACATTTAGTTACTATTATCGTACTTTTTATCTTTCCTTTGGTCTGTATATAAAGTTACATCATTGTATATATTCATTCCCCGTTGTATATTCACTCCTCTATTGTACATATTCATTCTATTTTCTATTTTCGCAAAAAAAATTCATGTTTAGCTTCTTATATAGGCTCGTAGCCTTTGTTTTTTTATTTGGACGTTTTAATAAGCCTTTGGTTTTCTTAATGCCACGGTTCTTTCCTAAGGTGGAGTATTGCGTGAACCGGGTGGCTCTTCCCAATGATAGATGGCGTGACAAACTTCTTAAGGGTTTGAGTCCGTTTTTCTTTTTGTTTTTAGTAGTTTGTAGTTAAGGGTACCTCAAGCAAAGCTTCACTTGGGCCTAGCATATTTGCCTTTGATCTTATGGTCAAAAACAAATTGTTGTGTTTAGGATGGTGAAAGTCGTGGCCTTGAGACTCTTGTGTTGACCGATAATCATCAAGTGGTTTTTCGGGACCATTATGTGCTCAAATCGTATCTAAGGTCGTTGTGGGCCCCCGACTCGATGTCTTTAGCAATCCCTTAGCTTGTGTGGTGAGAAATCGAATTGCGAGTCCAAGTCCCGAGCCATTGGTCTAGAACTTTCCCTGAATGTTTGTTGAGGCGAAATCATAAGTGAAATTTGACTTGAGAAGTGATTATAGGCTTTCCTTGATCCAAATGATAGTTGAACAAATTCCATAGTCTACCAATGATATGATCCCTAGTTAATCCTTTTGAGCCTTAGACCTTTTTCTTTCAAGAACCATGTTACAAGCCTATACCCATTCTAAAAGATACCCTCTCTTGGCACCCGATCTTTCCTTGAGCACATGGCAAAAGTATAAGTTTGGGGGAGAAACGAGGATGACAACAAAGTGGTATAAGGCACAAAAATGAAGAAAAGGAAAGGCAATGAAAAAGAAAGAAAAGCAAAAAGACAAAAAGAATGCTCAATGTGAGAAAGAATAAAAAGGGATTCAAGAAAAGTAAAAGAAAGAAAGGTGTGGGAAGTTGAAAAAGGAGAAAAGAATTGAAATGCATAAGAAAGAGTGACAATGAGTCTCTCTAACCCCTTGGAAAGAGGTGAAATGACTCAAAGAGTCAAGTGAATTGTGCCAAATGAATCAAAAGAAGTGCTTAAGGGAAGATGGAACCCACTTAGACCAAAACATTTCCTACCCTGAACCAAAAGCCTTCACAATGACTCCACAAAAGCCCTATATGATCTTGAGTTGAATGAAGCTTACATTAGTGGATACTTACATAAGGGGCAAGCATATGGTCCCTAGAGCCGGACTTGTGACCTTTCCTTGAGAGAGATGAGTGAATTCCTATTAACCTCGATTTGTGTGTCAATACTCTAAAAAGGTGAGGTTTGCTTAGGGAGAGTTGAGGATGTGTGAGCTTGAGTTCCACAATGACCAAAGTAATTGAAAGAGTTCTTTGATGTGTTGAGTCAACTCTTGATGCTCTTGTGTCGCACTTGATCCATGGTTTTTCAAAGGTTAAATGTTGTTAATGATGCATTCGTATTGACGGCAATTTTTAGTCCCAATTGATGCTTATTCAGGTTACTTTAGGATAGCTGGAAATTCTTGGATTTTACCTTAAGGGGTGGTTCTTATTTTGTTTGCTTGAGGACAAGCAAAAGCTTAAGTTTGGGGGAGTTGATAACTAGGGATTTTGACGTGTTTTATGCTCCTTCTTGCTTACGCTTTGATTATAAATTGTTACAAAATAGTCCCAAAAGGCTCATAGTTTGTGTTTGATTGCAGGTTTGATCGACAAAGTGACGAAATGTCAAAGATCAGCTCAAAAGGAGTGAAATCTACACAAGTACCAAAAACAAGGCAAACTCAAGACAAACAGGCCTAGTGCGGCCGCACTACACTTTGTGCGGTCTGCACTAGGGAGATTCAGAGAGCAGACTGTAAGGCATAAAACCTAGTGCGGCCGCAGTCCATTCTGTGCGGTCCGCACTAGGTAGATTCAGAGAATGGCAAAACCAAGCTTCAAGCAACGCGGCCGCAGTACACATTGTGCGGTCCGAGGTGAAGGCTCCGTGGCCGCACTGCCATTATGAGCGGTCCGCGGAAGAGAACTTCAGAGAGTTGAAATTGCCAAGGTTCAAAGCCATGCGGTCCACGGTCATGTTTGTGCGGACCGCGCTAGCTGCCTCCGCGGCCGCGGTCCACTCTACGCGGTCCGCGGAGCCCAAGTTCAGAGAGCCAGGATTTGAAGTCCAAGAGCCTAGTGCGGCCGCAGTCTATTTTGTGCGGTCTGCACTGACCCCGTAGGGGCATTTTTGTCCAGTTTTTCCAGCTTAGTATAAATAGAACCTTTTTCCATTTTTAGGGTATCAGTTATATTTTTTAGCAGTTGCGCTCGTGAGAACATCATCTGTAGCCATTTTTGGCATCTTAGCTTACTTTTAACGATAGATTCTTGTATTTTACTTTAGTGCTTAATTAATGTTGGTGTTACTGTGTTAAAAATCAGAAAATTAGAGAAGTAGAGAAATATTAGTTTAATAAACAAAACAGAAAAAATAATTTCGAGCCCACAAGTTGCTTGTGTATCCTTAGAGACTTTAATCCCCTCACTGTTGCCCGAGGTTTTGAATTAATTCCTCCCAGGATAGAACGGAATAACTATTCTGCAATACTGGCAATCGAAACTACAGAATTTCAGCGAACTTAACAGACGGAGCAAATCACACTTGACACTTATGTTTATTTGAAAATAATGCTAAATAGAAAAGAGGGGAGAAATTTTCAGATTTTTCCATGTCTTAAAAATGAGGCCAAGCCTCTAAATTTATAGACAAAGGAAGGGTGAGATGGAGAGGTGCAATCCAAAAGGTGCCTCTTCCATTTTCCATTCACACCCTTTAAAGAAAAACGCAACAATCCCCCACATGAATGGGGAATGGGCATATGTGTAAAAACATGCATGAAAATACAGTGTGATTCGCAAGTAAGGATTAATTGCATCTAGATAAGTAGGTTTCCCTTTGAAGTTTCCGTAGTAAACTTATGTCGGATATACTCGGTCAATCGGTAGAATTGATATCTTTGAACCGTCGAGCTTTGGTGCATACCTAGACAACTATAAGTCACACAATCAACTCTTAACCGTCTTTGGTTCTCATTGTTGTGTTCGTTTCAGCCATGAACACCACCTGGTTCATAAGTGCATAGAGAATTGGCCTTACAGAATTCTTCTTGAAGCGGCTTACACTTCACACTTACATAGGTGATTCCTAAACGTGTTATCCCATAGATACACTATTTGATATAACATGTATCAAATTTAGAAACCATTAAAAAGTCTTAACTCTTTATCCTTGGTACTGAACATTG